AAACTAATTGAACCCCATTGATATTATTTTAAGGTCGTTGAAATTGGCAATGGTGACAACATAACTGTCAAATGTCCAAATGGGAATGTGCAGAAAATGTTTATATCGAGCATTCGTGCCCCAAAATTCAATCCATCGGATGCTACATATCCTACCTCAAATGAAGCTGCTGATGAAAATGCAAAAGCATCAAATAAAACTCTCTTGGTAGGAATTCGGTCAAGACCACTTTATGATGTTCCTTTCATGTTTGAAGCCCGGGAATTTCTAAGGAAAAGCTTAATTGGGAGAAAGGTCGAGATAACGGTTGATTACGTTCAGCCTAAGATGATAGGCTCTACCTTCGATGATCGCATCTGTGTTAGTGTACGAATTGGTCCGACCAATATAGCTGAAGCTCTTGTCACCAAGGGCCTAGCTTCTGTGATCCGCTCTCGAGCGGGTAGGGCTCAAGAAACAGGATCTATTGGTACAGAAGCTCCACGTGCTGGTACAATCGAAACGCTATTAGCTGCTGAAGCCCAGGCACAAAAGAAACACATTGGAATGTACACAGCCGAAGTAGCAACCCCTATGCGTGTGATCGACCTCTCGAGTAACCTAGCAAAGTCAAAACAATTTTTACCTAGTTTGAAGCGCCGTGGACGTCTTTTGGCCGTTGTAGAATTCATTATTTCTGCATCTAGATTTAGATTATATATTCCTAAAGAAAATCTGCTAATCACCCTGCTTCTAAATGGAATTGAATGTCCCCGAGCTTCTCGGTAAGCTATTTATCTCAATCATATTTTATCTTATCGTTTTGAAGATCAATGTATATGAGGACCTAGAAGGAGCATATCATAGCTATTTTATATTTTTTTAAATCTTATTTCTTTATTTTTTACATTCTAGGGGCAGTGAAGCAGGTGATGTGTTTGGTGACGAGGCACTCGAGTTTGTTCGCGATCTCTGTATGCAACGAGATGTTGAGATCGAAATAGAAAGCGTTGACCGAATTGGTAACTTTATTGGTTGGCTCTTCATCTTGTCGCAGAATAATGAAGAAGATATGTGCAAAGTCTCCGTAGCTGGGAAAAGCAAGGCTAAGACAAACAAAAAGCCAGCATCTTCCTCTCTTCCTTGTGGGCTGACTAATACCAATCTCAGTGTTGCTCTTGTTTCCAAAGGCCTATCTACCGTTCATCACGCCCCATTTGTCGAACGTTCTGTATATTACACAGAACTCTGCAGGGCCGAAGAAGGTGCACGAAAAGCGAAGGTTGGCCAGTGGTCACTAGAAGACTTCACTAAGTCATGGGAGGATAGCAACAATGGTGCATCTAACAATGGGCATCATGAGATGGAAGAGCAAACAATTCAGAACGACGAACTTGAAGGTTCGATTTCCAATGGCATAAAAATAGAACCCAAGTCTGGAATTTCTAAATACTCTAATCGTGGGCGAACTGGTAGGCCTGATTACTTAGACCACCTGGCTTCTCTTCCTATCAACTTAGAAACCATTTTGAAAACAGAGACAGCACGTAATGTACGTTTTATATTTTCCTATTTATTAAAGATTGA